TATTTATTACATTACGTAGGTATTGACGATGGTGGAATTTTGTCGATAAAATGAAATTTTTGACGAGTACTTAATGTTTTTTGTATTTTGTCATTATGTCAAATTAATGCACTTTATCATTCAGAATTTAGTATAGTTCTTTGTTCTACTTTTGACGCATTTATTATGTACGATAAAATTATCGATACGGGAACAATCATGTACATCACTATTTTTTAATGAAAATTGTTTTAGACGTATTTCAACTAAAATTAATGAAAATAAGCACTGCATTAGTTAGAAAAGTATTGTATTTAGTCAATTTGCAGCAACCACACTTGAATAGTTTGAAAAACAGAGATATTTTAATGAAAAATAACAGTACTTACCGATGTAATGTTACACCTGCCGGTTTAGTAATATTTTTAGTGCTACATCCAATAACACTGCACCCGGGCATAGTTCTTCTCACTAACCAATAATTTCTTTGTTTACCACGCACAAAAACAACAGGAATACTACAAATTTTCGTAACAAAATATTGTTGACCAATGCTTTGACAGCTGATGTACCACTGACATGCACTGATAACAGGGACTAAGATGGCCAATTCGGCACAACTAGGTATTTTTGATGACGTCAAAAAATTATTGCCAGAATGACAATAATGTGTTGTCTCTTTCTGCATAAGCAAAGAGACATAAGTAAAAAAGAAACAACATTATGTTTATGAATTTACCGTCAAGATGGATCCTAAATTCTACCCGTAGACAATAGCCAGACATCTATGTTATATTCATAAATCTATGGTCATAAACGACAGTTCTCTATGAATTTTGTACGAGATTGTGTATTGTGACGTCACGTTTTTTTAGTGTCAAACAACATAGGCATACTTATTTGTTTAAAAATTGCTGGATAAATACAAAAATTAAGTTGATCATAAAATAAATTAATGAAGGTATGATTCTTTTTTTTATATTTTATTGTAACAGTTGAAATAATTTATTTTTGAATAAGGCAAGTACCCAATTGTTGTAGAATTCCTAAAAGTGTGTTATTTTTCTTATTCGCTAACGGTTTTGAAAAAAATAGCAAATCTTAGTTGTTAGGGCTGTTTTATTTTTTAAATTGTATTTTTATTACTTTTTTTTCTCCTCTAAGTATGCTCTTCATAGATAATTAATTAAATGTAAAAACATGTATTCAATAGATTTAATAAATAAGTATATACATTGTAATAGGTACAACTACTATGTTGTAACAGCCACGTATGTAGACCATAATTTTACAGAAACACAAAAGTAATACGTCTTGCTTTAATAGCAAACGATTCGTCGATAGCAAACAATACCAAATTAAAAATTCCATTAGCTCTACATTTTACGACCACTCTCCATTGAGATATTGTCCTTGAGTTATTTACTTTGTCATCTGACAGCACAATGCATGTTAATTGTAACAAATTAGAAACATTATGTAACTTGGATAATCATTGTTATATAATTATGGGGAAAAACTGCATCACACGATTGTAGTTTTAGATAAAGTGAAAAAACAAACTTCAAAAACGAATAAACGTAAAGTAAAAACGAACCATATTTATAGACTAGCTACTTCCGCGCGGTTTCACACGCTCTGCTCAGCTCCTATTGGTCGTAACGTGATGTTTTATAGCCTATAGCCATCCTCGATAAATGCGCTATCCAACACAAAAAGAATTATTAAAATCAGACTTGTAGTTATGGAGATTAGAGCGTTCAAACAAAAAAACAAACTCTTCCGCTTTATATAATAGTATAAGATATTTCTCAATATTCGAATATTCTCAGTAATTTTTGTTCACACCTTTACATAATATATGTTCAGCTCTTACATTTTCACGAACGAAGAGGCTTTATGTTCTTGCTCGAAGCATGTTCAATAAAATACTGTCAAATGATGCTTGCTCAATTTCATCCCCTTGAATCATACGCACGTACTCTTTAAAAAAAGCTAAAAGCACCCTTATTCTGTTAATAATAAGGGTTGTTTTCACATTCGAAGTATCATTAAATCTAATTTTTTAATGTGAATATCATGAATGTTATAATTATTTGTATGTATTCAGGAACCCCAGTAGCGGAGAAAGATAGAAGAAACTCAGACTCGCAGGGTGGGAAGAATTCATCGTCGAACAGCATGTAAGGAGGATACAAAGGTAATTTATAAATTGGATACTTGCCCCAACTAATCAAATTCAATACTTTTTTTAGAAGTGTCAAAAACTACTGTTTTCTCGGAATTGTGCCCGGTATATGGCAATAGGCTTACCCCCTATAACATGGGACACATAACATAAATAGTAAAAAGTGGGTGGTACAGTGGCATAATGTGCACCTCTGCCTCTGGGGATAAAAGGCGTGATGTTATGTTATGTTGTACGAGATTGTGTATTGTGACGTCACGTTTTTTTAACGTCAAACAGCAATAGAAAACAGCAGAAATAAGTTTTCTTAAATATTTGTTGGAAAAATACTAAAATAAAGTTGGTCATAAAATCAATTAATGAAAGTGTGATTTTTTTTATGTTTTATTGTATTGAACAGTCGAAATTATTTATTTTTTATGAAGGCATATACCCAATTCTCTTAGTTATATACCTATATTTTTATATGGATCATGGTCGACCGCTTTGGCCACTATCTCGCCTGGAGGTAAGCGATGACGGCCTACGATGGAGCACGCGTGCTTATATGCAACCTTTTCATTTGGGCATTGAAAAAAATAAGTTATACTAATATTACTCTTATACTGACAAGTAAAGTGACTGAAAAAACATCACACGAATAATAATACTGCACAGTTGGTACGGTGGTTGGGCAACTGGCTGCCGCGCAACGTGGCACGGGTTCGATTCCCGCACGGAATAACTCTTTGTGTGATCCACAGATTGTGGTTCCGGGTCTGGGTGTGATGTGTATGTGAACTTGTATATTTGTAAACGCACCCACGACACAGGAGAAAATCCTAGTGTGGGGCATTTTTTTTATGAAAAAAAGAAATCGTAAAATCTTCCAAAGAAAGTTTTAATTCAGTCCCTTATCAATACATATGTAATCATAACCATTATAGTGACTAATATTAATGCATGGCTAATATTGAAACTTCACTTCAAGGTTGTGATACGCAATCAAGACGTATTATCTACTAGTTTTACGCGCTGCATCAAGATGTTTAACCGCTTGAAAGTCGGTATATAAGACACAATACAAACTAAATTGTGTCTCGCGTGAATCCGCGTTTAGGGTCACGACGTACTAACATTTGTCCCGTGAATTTGGACTATGTCCTTTACATCATCCAATGCCAATGACATGCTAAGTCATCAGTCTTTCCATGTCATTGGTATTAGCAATGGCCTAATGGCCTTTAATGGCCGTTAGGCCCAATTACTCCTTTCCCCAATCTTCGAATCTCCACCAATCCTCAAATTCCTAATCCCCAAAAACCGGTAGCACTTGTAATGCCTCTGGTGTTCCGGGTGTCCATGAGCGACGACAACCGCTTACCATCAGGTGATTCGTCTACTCGTTTACCAGTTTATCCCATAAAAAAAACTATAAGCTTGTGTTCTTAATACCTCTCAATATTGTTTGACTAAAAATTTAATTACTAATTACATTATATTTGGTAATAGGCTCACCTATTTAATTTTACATACTTTCAGTCGGTATTAGATTTTGCTATCTCTACTTACCTCTGAGAGGCGTCAATTTTTTCAATGTTTGTTATTATAATTAGGCTAATATATGTTTTTTTTTTCAGTAAATCTCACACAGTCAATCATGCGATGCTGCCGTGCAGTTTGTGAATAGTTTAAGTTTATATTTAACTGTTAATTTTTTCGCTAAAAGCCGTTCACTAAATTCACGTTGTCTAAAATAAGGTTAAAATACTAATTTAAGTGAACTGTAAGTTAATTCATCCACTTTAAATATATTCTTTATTAATTCAGACGTTTTATCTTTTAAAATAATGTCATTCTAATCTATTGTACAATATTACATATTCATATATGAGCAATTATTGTCCATTATAATGTCTGAAGAAGCACTTTTGTAACACAACAAAATATTGCACCGTATTTATAATGCCGTAACGTCGGTAATTGAATGGCGTATATAATAAGGCCTGTTTACATCTCAAGGTATTTGCAATTGACAAGTAAATTAACATAAGAAACACACTGTAATTAGTAATGCCACATTTTCAGGTTTTTCCTATACTGAAAGTGTAAACTGGGCCTTATTATGATTATTACTTATTTGTGGACAACATCTGTTTGTCGTTGCGTCCAAGAACGAATTTATTTTATGCATTTTATTATTGAATCTCGCATTTTTTCCGTTCATACGTAAACTACGTGTAATTAATAAATGTTCAAGTCGGTAGACAAACTTATATATTGAACATTTTATGAGACTTTAACATAATGCAATCATTCATGTTAAAGTTTGTTCTTATTTCAAAATAATATACTTAAATTCATATGCATTTATAGCATTGTTTTAAAGATTCCTCTCGATATTTCATCTGAATAAATAGTCTTACAGTCGTCATTTATAAATCAATAATTAAATCAACATTGGTGCATGCATGTTTTATGTAACTTTATGTATAGTAAATAGTCAATTATAATATTAAACATTCACTAGAGATATATATGTAATTTTTTATTAATTTTGAGACCAGTTCGAAGTTATTTTTATTTATTTTATTTCGTTTTGGAGTTCCTCTAGTAATCGCGTTTTTATTTAAAACTTTTTAAATTAAGTAATAAATTAAGAATAAAGTTTTTTTTTAAATAGGGATATAAGATATTAATCATGATTCCAATAGCTACCATAGATAAATATATGTCAATTACAATTGTTAATTAACCTTTTTTACTTTTTTGCTATGTACATTATGTTAGGATGTTATTCTCGACTTAATACTCATTTTTAAAAGGTCATCTCATGTTAAAATTAAAATCAAGTAATTCCAGTGTTCCTGTGTAAGTGCAATTATACATATTAGAATTATCTGTAGAAATTATTGCAATGTTATAAAATTTATTTATTATTTTCATTTTTCCAAAGATTTGGCTGTGTACAGATCATTTTAATATAAAAGACTGATGAAATTGTAACAACTATTAATATTATGAATGTTTTCGTTTCCTAAATTATGTAGTCTATTTTTATAAATTTGATATGTTGTAAATTATAAAATTATTGTTACAAATAATATATCTTTAACAATATTACGTGGTTTATTTTTCCTGTTTTGAGTTTTATCATTTTGTTCTAGAATGTTTTAGACACTGCTACTACTAACTGATATCGGTTCTCGTAATCTCTGATACCGTTACGTTTATTTTGTTTTGCAATATTGGTCTGGCAATTTCTTTGTTGCTACTTGCTACATACTTGGCCTTCAATTAGCTTTCTATCCGGTGTCTTAATGAATACTATGAACAGCCTTAAAAAAGCTTAAATAATTCGTTTTTGAAGATAATAAAACGTAATTGTAATAAATTTTTTATTTTCTAATGATTTCTAAAAAATGTTGTGGAAAATATTTCAAAAAAGTAATTGTTTCCGCCCGGGATCGAACCGGGGGCCTTGTGCGTGTGAAGCACACGTGATAACCGCTACACTACGGAAACGTTGAAAAGAGTGTCAAAATAGTTGTACAGTATCTGAAAGGTTACGAATTCTAATAAAATTGATAAATATTTGACAAGAGTTGTTTATAACTAAGCAACCTGTCGCTCAATGCTAATCCCGGGGACAAAACGAGATGGTTTGTTGCGTCTGACCAAAATAATTATAAGGCGTTCATATTGATACATAATAGTGAGTACGGGCTCGCCGCATCCCAGTCTCGCGGCTACTTCGCCCGCGGTAAGTCGCGGACGCGCGTCACCGTGTCACTCTATTGTCGGTGTTTAGTTGTGCAAATAATTGACTGTTCTAACGTGAAATAAACTAAAATCTAACACCATGGATCCCGAGGCCTTCTTGGACCTGGCCAACCAGGTCATTAAACTAAAAATGTACCCATATTTCGACATAGCACATTCTTTATTATGCGCTCTTGCAGTCAGAGAGGATTTAGGATCTGGTAAGTGGTATTTAATTTAATTTTAAATAAATCCCGCCAAAACAATAAGTTTGTTTGTCATACTTCCGCATCCTTTAATGTTTTTTATATAGCTGAAAGGTAATTTGTACGGAATGTTCTAAAATAAAAGACACCTAAACGAGTTTAAAAATAGATTGTTCCCGCAGCATCTAAAGCCCGAATAGCTCCAATAACAGCTAAAGTTAACCGAACACAATATTATTTGCATAAACACAACATCAAAGGAAATGACAAACTATCAAATAAGAAAATAATTATATTAGTATCTATTTCCAAACAAGTTATTTCGGTTCTCACAATTTATCGTATGCATTCCTATCAACATCTTATCACTGACGTGGTCGCCTATAATTCGATGTTGTAAAAAATAATATTATTAACTAAAATACCCATGTATTAATGTTATTTACCTATTTCATGGTTAGGTTAGGTTTTAGATAAGAGCCGTAAAAACTAGATTCGCTGTCACATTTGAAAGTTGTAATCAAGCTCGCTTCGACATGTTCCAGTTACTCCACAGATGGCGCTAAATTCAAATATTGAAATGATTCTAGAAAAAGTCGTGGCAAAAAAAGAATATGAAAGCTTTCAGAGTAACAAAATTATGTTGATCACTAAAAGAGATTTACACCGGGCTCGTCCGGGATTTGAACCCGGGACCTCTCGCACCCGAAGCGAGAATCATACCCCTAGACCAACGAGCCACGTTAGGTGACGTTGAAATTACGGATCAATGTTCACAGCTAAGGATATGATTAAAAATATTACATTTTTATGCTCAATCAAACTGGGTGTGAAATTCATCAAAAATATTTACAGAATAAAATCTAAATCATTAATTCAAAGGTAATGTTATTTTAGGTACCAAGTGTCATCTAAGGGCTCAGCTGCATAGAACAAAGCTGAGTTTTCCGGTGTTAACCTTAACAATAGCAGTCAAATAAGTACCTAAACCTACCTATAACAACTAGAGTACTGTATCATTTACTTTTCCAAAAGATATAAGTATTTTCAGGGAAAAGCACCTATCAGGAAGCCGCTAAATACATACCTCACAATTATGTTATCTACCTAACCCACAGACAATGCACCAAAGGAAAAGGATAGCAAACATGTATATGCGATACAAATTCACATCCTGTACAGTCATCAAATATACCGCGAAATATTGGAAACCGCAATAAAAGAAGATTAACTAAAATTCAATCTTAAAAACATAGCTCTAAAGTTGCATATTGAACAAATCTCTCAATTATACAGGGAAATATGATAAAAATTAGTTTTAAACGCACAATAAATCGGTTAACCACCTCAAACCACGTGCAGAGATAACCTGTAACAGTTAATGCCACGACACCACTTGGAAGGGAGCCAACTAAACACAGTTGTCTCATGAAATGACAGACGCGGGTCGCATAGCAATTTATTTTTCTGTCTGAAGGCAAACCGGTTATTTTTCCAAGATTAAAACGGGAAGTAATAGATCTAGTTAGAAATTACAACTGCCAACCAGAGTATAGTGGTTTTCTAATTAGATCTGAGCACTGTAATAAGAGCTGATTGTCGTCTGTCATGACCTAAGTAGCTACAGTGCTTACGGAATCCAAAGGTACTGCTGGAGAGTGTACTACTGGACTATGACTATGAGCCTCTTGTACAAAAATGTGGTTTGTCCCGTTTGCCATAATCACCACGCTTTACAAGTAGGTCGGAGATAGCAGCAGTAGTAAAAGCTTTTAGTTTGAATATTACTTAGGTATATCTAGTATAGCTATTTTTTTTATTAAGGGTGGAAAATCATCGAATGACTGCTCCCGCCTGGGTGAGGCGGGAGGGAGTGTCAGACTCTTACTGACTAAAAATCACCCCGTTCCTTCTCCTGCACGTGGAGCCGGAGCCCCGGTTACCCGTTAGGTTCTCCGCGACATCTAATATAGGTACCTACTCCTACGTATATGCATACCCACGTACATGAGCGTATAACATACATGTATGCATACGTGTATAGAATACTGTCGTAATTTCTATGACAGATGTGCTCGTTATAAAAACTGAGATAAATATTTCTAGTCTCTAGTAATCTACACAAGCGCACATCCGCTCCGATGAAAAATTGAGAATTTCTATGAATAATACGAGCAGGCATTACATATTTATTAGGTTATTACGTCGCTTATCTTTTGATCGTGAAATACTGAAAACCAGCATTATGTTTAATTTCATAAAATCTAAATGGGAATGGAAACTGAGCTCGGTCAAAAATCATCTACTACCATAATGAAAACGGCTTTTTAGCCAACTGCACCGAAAGGAGAGTTATATGAACAACCGACAGCAGTTATCGTAAAGTGTTCATTATACTTCCCTAAGAGTCTATTCAACTAATGGAGGCAGGTACCAGCAAACACGCAAACTCATTCATAATTACCTGGGTGCCTATATTTTTTGCGATGCAACAACGAACAACAATTACTGATGATTCAAGATTCAAGAGCAGCAACAACTTTGGACCTTTTGACTCACAATATGACCATCTATATGACGACCATAATCGGCACCTATAAAAGCATTCTGTCCAGATCAAAATATAAGACTTTTTGGAATAGTAGCTCTTCGGTAGAAACGATCAGACCGTACCCCTGAAGCCGAGGAGTTGCAGTTCCAATTAGTTTGAGGAAGTAGTAAGTACCTATCATTGATTAACCCGTCGTATGTCTAAACGTGGATCCACGTGAGATACAATGTATTTTCTATTGTCTCATATACGGGCATTCAAGCGGTTAAAGAAACAAATAGAGAAGTGTAATAAGGCGCTGTTCGGTGACCTAAACGCAGCAGGCATTGCACACAAATAGCCAGCTACTAAAAACCAATCATAAATGACCACATAACTAGTTTTATTGCTAACCAACTTTTAATGGCATTCACATAGACCTAATGATTGAAATAAGTTGGCAAAACTGCACGATATGTTAGCAAGGTAAGAAATGAAGAATACACTAGATTTAGGGTCCCGCATTTTCGCCGGAATTGATCATTCTATCGAAGCATGCAATCTGAAGATGCAAAGGAGCAAACCATCCAAAACACACAAACAAATCTGAGATTGATTGAAATACGTTGATACTTTTCTTTGCTACACTACAAAGGCAACTATCAACACGAGAAAAAAAGAAGGAAAACACTTTTTAAATATTCTAAGCTGGAGAAGGAGAAGAACTTAGAAACTTCATTTACTTAAAACACTTGTCTTTTGACCTAAATTGCCAACTTAGTAACACTCCCGTGACTATAGGGCAAGGGTAGAAATGACGTACTGCGTATGTTTAACTAGGGTCACTGAATATAAACAACTCTAATAGGTATTATTTATTGTACGTAAGTATTTAGTTACGGTGAGAGGTAGGTAGACATACTAAAATGACTCGTCTATCTATAATGGCTGTTTCGTTGTCCATTTTTGACAATGACCACTCATTATTCAGCCTGCTACGGATTTCAGCTTAACCGGAAAATTATTCAATAGGTCTTGTAGGTACTCAAACCCTGAGAACAAAGATTTTCAGTTGATTGTTTTTAAAATAGCAACTGGATTATCCAATTCCATTGTTTATAAGACACATCACACCACGTTTCTGGTAAATATTATACCACGCAGGTATCAACGGTTTCAGTTTACGTAAGACACAAATATTTATATGATCTCCAGATAGTTACGGATCAAAGCGTTGCATGATCATGCAAGTTATTTGGTATGCAACTGTAAGCAAATAAAGAATACTTCAATACAGAGAGACTGTACATAAGATATCGCTTCGCAAGAAAGCATACAATTCAACAATAGGTCTGTTTTAAAACGATCTTTATTTTAAATAATAATCGCGGGCTACTTACTTGAAAATACTGAGAAAATCTCTACTAATTTCGAGCCAAGAAGGGGCTCTTCCTCATGAGCAGCGTGTGAGGTCGCGGCGAAAATAAAGATTGATTTAATACAGACTTGGTTAAGTATTGTTATAATAAAATTGTATGATTTCTTAAAGAGCAGTTCAGTATAAAAACATAGCAAATCGGCACGTGGCAGAAAAAGTAAACGAATCTTTATTTTCTGTATACCAAATAATTTGGCTGGCTGACCTATGTGCCTTCCGCGCACCTATAACGGGTTTAAACTGTCAAACACCGAGCGGTCACCGGTGACCGCAACCTATTGTTCTATAATTGTGTCTATAATGACGGTACTCGACGAGTTAAAAGGCATTATTTACGTTAAAAACCCAGTTATCCAATCGACTTAACTATTCATATTGACTATTCCAGGTGCACAGGCGTTTTCCCGCAAACATCCCCTGTCATGCTGGCTGTCCACAATGCTGGTCATCTTCGCGGGCGGCATGGTGGTCAACGGCCTGCTCGGGGAACCGATGCTAGCCCCACTTAAGAACACACCGCAGCTTATTATTGGAACTGTCACATGGTTTGTTATTTTTATGACTATTTATCTATATTTTACCTCTATAGTTTACTCGGTACCTGTACCTAAAACAATATGGAGTGTACCCGTATTACCCACTCATGTATCCTTCTCTGTTTGTTATTGGCATGGTGGGATACTATAAGCTGGAGGTCAGGCGAGAGGTTGCACTCGCAAAGTACGTGTTTGAGGTTTTCCGGGGTAAGCAGAACAATCCATCCATACTGGCTTCGTTGAGGTTGCTCGTCCCAAATACAAAGCTAAGGCTGAGCCCGAGGCAGAGACTATTTGAGGTCCCAACCAGTCGCACTAACATAGGTCGATATGCTCCTGTGGCTAGAGCTATTAAAATAATTAACAGAGTTGGACAAAAGGTTGATATTTTCTGTTGCTCATTGGCGGAGTTCATAAAGGTAACGACTGATGTTGTTAATTGTACATATGTAGTTAATGGATAAGTACATAGTTGTTATAAGTTTTTATAATATTAAGTTTTTATTTAAGTTTTTTTATGAATGTTAATTATAAGTTTTTACATTAAGTGACAACATTATCGCATTGGGTGTAACCTGTTAGGATGTGTTGAATTAAATAAAATAAAAAAAAAATAAAAATAAAAAAATAAATAGGTATTAAAGGAACCTCCATCATTTTTCTTTTTGACTTTCGACTTCATTCCCTTCAGTTTTAACAAATGATAAGAACCTAGATTCGCTTGAATGTTGTTTTGTAACCATACTTGTTGGTTAACTTGGTTCCCTTGACTAGACCTTATGGCTTCTGACGAGTTTCGTCGCACTTCATCGAGGATGATGAACCGAACTAACTACTCGAACTTAGTAGAAAGAGTACAAATTAAACTTCGTCTTTCGGCGTCACATAAATAACTAAACATTATAAATAAACAAAAAATAAAAAAAAAAATTCTCATTCGTATTTTGCTTAAACTTTGGAAATATCGTCGTCTATTTCACACGACGTCGTCGTTTATTTAAAGTGTGGGAGAGCCATGCTTCGGCACGAATGGGCCGGCTCGACCGGTGTGACACCACGGCCTTACAGAAAACCGGCGTAAAAGCAACGCTAGCGTTGTGTTTCGTCATGTAAGTGAGGTTACCGGAGGCCCAATTACCCTACCCTACCTACTCCTAATCCCTAAAAGACCGGTAACGGACTTGTAACGCCTCTGGTATTCCAGGTGTCCATGGGCGACGCCAATTGCTTACCATCAGGTGATCCGTCTGCTTGTTTAACGGCTTAGGTATGCCATAAAAAAAAACTACCTATCAGCAGAAGCTCATAGATAAAAATGATCTAGATGTAGTCCAGTGATAAACATTCTGTACCTATTTGTAGTGACACAAATGGCTAAGTCATAAAGTGGACGTACTGTGTCGTAAAATGGAATAGGGCCATAACAGCTGTATTCAATGTTCGTCCAATAATAATTCTATTACATTCTAAGGCCAGTAAGGCAGACCATTTATAGTTGACATTTGTTAATGAAACTCAAATTGTCTTAGTTACTACCTATACAAACGTCATGCTTTATTGTCTGTACATAGGTAGGAGCGCTCACGATATTTTTCCAGGCAGTAACTACAGAGTATTGCCTGACTTGACTATTTATTATAAAAAGTGTCTAATTTGAGGGTAATTTTTTTTTTCATCCAATGGCTTCTCCCGCCTTGTGTTAGGCGAGAAGGAGTGTCAGACTCTTACTAACTAAAAACCACCTTCCGTTCCTACTCCTGCTCTATGTGCCGGAGCCCCAGCAACCCGTTAGGCGTTCCGCGGCTCCGAATCGGGCATCAGCCCTATTGGACCCGATCTGTGGTGATCTGATGGCTCTTTGAGGACGGTTGATTATATTAATTTTAAATAATAAATAATTTCAGGTACCTCGTTTTCTACACACCATTCGATGTGGGATATAAAGTGGCAAAGTTCCTACCAGTGAAGGTAGTTGCTTCAGCCATGAAAGAGATTTACCGCGCCAAGAAAGTCTATGATGGAGTCAGCCACGCCGCGAAACTGTACCCTAACGCCTATGTCATAATGATCATTGTTGGTGAGTACGATAAGTGTTAACATTTTTGCAAGTAGCTAAGGACCTACTGCCATAATCTAGAATACTTGAATTGATTGATCTACTTAAAGCAAAGGCCTAAAGCTGGACACGATTGTGCTACATTTTTATCTATTTATCAAGGAGAGTTTGTTCATTATGTATGATGCCATGTCTTCTACAAAGACTCCCACCCCAGTCTAAGATACTCGTCATTATGATATCACACATTTGGGAGGATGTGATGGGCTTGCACCAATAAAACAGAAATAATCCGTAATAGCTTCATTGCTGAACAAAGATCTTTGGCAATAACAGATCATCCGAACTTTACTCATTTCATGTAAAATAATTCTCCATTTCAGGTACCCTAAAGGGCAACGGAGCAGGTTTCACCAAGCTGGTGGAGCGACTGATCCGCGGTGCCTGGACACCCACTGCCATGGAGACCATGCAGCCTAGCTTGTAAGTATTAAACAAATTAAGGATTTAACTAGTATTGAGCAGATGGCGCCACTGGCAATATTAAGGTATATACTACAAGCCTAATGTGGTTAAGGTTTTTAGTACGGTTTCTAGGGTTCAGATTAAAAAGCCTTGATTTTCTTCAAATAGTCTAAAAATATTGGCTTGATATCTTAAATACCAGTACCCATAATGAAGTGAAACAAACTAAATTAAGATCTGACACGGACAAACGTTATACATGATTTACATCATTTTGCAAACTAAATTAGTGACTCTGCACTCACTCATATGGTCAGTAAATATTGAAATTTTCTTTCATTTCTTTTTCAGCTACACGAAGGCCTCTCTGGTTGCGTCCATTATTTTCGTGCTAGACAAGAAGACTGACCTCATTTCTGCCCCGCACGCTCTCGTGTACTTCGGCATCGTGATATTCTTCGTATACTTTAAGGTAAGCACCAACATTGAGTCGATTATTAATTTAACTTGCTCGGCTGTTGAAATGACGCAGTCACTTTTGAAACTCCGAATATTTGAGATGCGATGCATATTTATACCTACCAAACATATTTAATAGATTCGACATAATATTCTTATAATCGTGACTCCAACAATCAAAATTTTTCAATGAATACAGGATTTTTTTAAAAGTTAATATATTGTCTTTCAGCTGTCATCAATTCTCTTGGGCATCCACGATCCCTTCGTGCCCTTTGAGAACTTGTTCTGCGCGCTGTTCCTCGGAGGCATCTGGGACTCACTGGCCAAGCTGCTGGGCAAGGGACAGCCCAAGGAGGAAACCAAAGACGCTAAGAAAACTAATTAGCCAAATTAATAGGTACGCATTTGTACTTTTTGAGGTTTTATGGATGCTTATATTTTTAAAAAGTGTCGTTTAAGATATTTTTATGGAGCGTCAATCATGGACAGATGAACCCGCAATATCAGAGGAGTTACAAGAGCATTACCCACCTGTGAATCTGAGAAATATTTAAAATACTTTTGTAGCCCATAGTGCCTACATAACATAATTCAATTCATTAAATTTTCTTTTCTTTTCCAGGTCGCATTTTATAATCTGCAACATTTGCGCTACGTAATCAACTGACACCGACAATACAAAATGCGACGGCTTATTGATAAGCATAAAGAAAAGGACACGACAAAAAGGAAAAACAAAAAAAAATTGTAAAACCCTTAAATCCTAAAAAAATGGCACAACGACCAAAGTTTGATTTCATTAGATTTAAGAACCACTAGTCGTAATGAAGTTTATAAATGTTTTTGTTACCTTTTATGTGGAATGCGTTTTACGTTAATTTAGAGTGGGTGTAGAAATACCTTATATTTTAGTTACTGTTCCTACATGCAACTATTTGCCAAAAATTGTGATACATTTAGTATTATCCACCTTTTCGTATCGATTATGCTAAAAACTTGCCATAATAATTGTTATTTTACCTACAAATTATAAGAATGTAAGCATAATAAATATATCTACCTAATTATTATTTTGTTCAATGCTTGCTACACTACAATAAATATTAGTTTCCTTGAGTGAAAAAAAGTATCGAGCATTGTAATTTTAATTCTATTTTTAGTTCACGAAACGAAAATCGACTAAGCCGACTTCCTTTACCAAATACACCGGAAGATTTCCAATATGGCTGCCTTCCACCGTCCCGCGTAAATAAAAAATATCAATAAAATTAAATCTTTCTGATTCGCCATGCGATGAAGAGCGTTTTTTTTATAAAATACGTTATCATATCAAAGTAAATGCATTATTTATTAGGTTAAATGAAATTGTGATTATTGTAAGAAAGATCTGACCGAGTTGCGGGGTGCAAGCAACGAGGATCACATCTTTCAACAAGTTAAGTTAAACTTTCATGACACTAAAGCTATTCTATTCATTGATACTTGGGTATGCTAAAGGAAGCAATAAATTGTTTTTATTATAAAAATATGTTGTTTTATATCTTTTTCCCTATCCCTCCTTTCTTGACTCTTTCGCCAATTAAAAATGGCTGCTAAAGACTTGACCGTCTTGACTTGTCTACCTTGATAGAATCGGAAGGATCAGCAAGTTCGTTCCAGTGGATCGGTTACACTTGTCGGCGAACCGATGATCATTGCGATAGATGTGTACTTGTATGGATATCTCTAGGCATTTATAGTGTAGGGTACCTTTCAGGTATTGGAGTAACTTATGCTTATCATCAAAATGTTGTTTTAACGGACTTGTTTAGAGGTAAAGGGCTGACGACCGAGCTCGGTTTCGTGCTATTGGAGAGAAGACTGTATCCATTTAAGTAGTGGACAGAAAGGGTCTGGTAGTGATAATTGTATTGTGAACCTGATTGAAAAAGAGTAACCTATGGAGTTTTTTGCTCGGTCTTCTCCATAGGAATCTACACCTTGGAATGGGCATATAGCTTCACTTTTGATTTTTTGTTGACGTTCAAAAGTGCCTTACTGGTCTAATTGAAATAAATGATTTTGACTTTGATAATTACGATGTTGATGATGAAGAAAGTTGCCTTGTACACCTGGCATTATATTCAAAGGACTAAAATAGACCACAAACCCCATGACCGGATCTTTTAATCGAGAATCATATGTGAATCAGTAACATAATTTCGAAGGATGATAGAAAATCCGATTTGTGTAAGATTGATTATAAAACTTTTTGATAAAATATTATTCAATTTCGATTAGCGTAATTGATAGCTTAATTGGATAAAGAGAAATACATTACAATAAACTGATACAATCTTTGATTATTCTAGGAAAATATATGACTACCTATGCATACGGAAAATGAAACTGTTTTAGGGCTGCTTGTCTGCTTGTACTGCCATAAGCGATTATGGCGATGGTGACAGCAGATGTTCACGGCTGACTTGGGGCATGAACATGTATTCATCAGTACCTACTAAAAGAATATCACATCTGTACCTATATTTCACTTGTTTTTTAACGTGTGAAAGAAAATTAATTTCTTTCTTTCTTTATTAAATACATTTGGCATCAGTTCACCATCCCTGCTCCTCTTGCGGACCTGAGTACCAACTAAGGAACATTTGGTGGACACCAGGCAGCTCTGACAAACGTGAACCTTTTAAAGCCATCTCCTACCCGTCTACTACGTGTGGAGATTATGAGAAACCTCCTTATGTACCTAGAGGAAGCCTTAGTCCAGCAGTTAGCGGTCACAGGCTGATTATACCGTCGAAGGACTGGTGTCTGACAGACTTCAAATTCTTAGACTTCTAATCACCGATACGGAGCCGCGGAGAACCTAACGGGTTACCGGGGCTCCGGCTCGAGTGCAGCAGTAGGAACGGGGTGGTTTTTAGTCAGTAATAGTCTGACACTCCCTCCTGCCTCACCCAGGCGGGAGCAGTCATTCGACGATTTCCCCCCTTATAATAAAAAGACTTCTAATCAATGTATGATGTCAGAAGCATGTTTTGTACTTAGGCCATACTTGATATTGTTTGTGATAATCACGACCGCTGATTTGGTAAGTGATAATAAAATTATTATCAGTAATTCAGTAGGTACCTACGTATATAGCCCAGCCCCCGATTGTAAGAATTAAATGGAAATATAATGTTTGGAAGTGGCATCAAAGCTCATAGACCGCCTGATGGTAATTGCTAATTAGTAAGCAGTCGCCATACGCCATAGCCAAAGTACACCTTCAAATACCATATGCATACTAGGTACCTAATAAAAACAATAGTACCTAGACAAATGCACATTTTTTATTTTAGATTTATTGGAACGACGAACAAATCTAAAAAAATAATGAATTTACACCTACAACAAATATAATTCCAAAATCGAACAACAGGATTTCTGGAAATGTTATTAAACCACATCTTTCCTAAACTTACGTTATTGTTTAATTAAGAAAACGCAACGAAACCAAAAAGTATCACAGTCAGTTTTCTCGAGAATTTATTTAACAAGGGAAAACGGGCTCGTCCGGGATTTGAACCCGGGACCTCTCGCACCCGAAGCGAGAATCATACCTCTAGACCAACGAGCCACACTGACATGTTTGAACAACCCCTATTTTCCAACCCCTAGCTTATCCTGCCCATAGTATGTTGGTTTTATAACGTTTATTGATTGATTTTACCTAAACTGCTCTTGAAGTAAGGGGTCGTAGGGGTTAGTCAATCAAATAGCGTGCCAGACTGCATTACTTAATATGCACTCTATGGAAAATGCGTGCACGGTGTTAAAATATAAGATATACCAGATTTACCGTAATTATTATTGTGTACGCTAATCAGATTATAGCGACATTAAAAAACTGTAACATTTTCTTGTTATTAACGCTCTCGTCCAACCAGACATTAATAATAACAATCGTTTTATAGATAACTTACAAAGTAGTATTATTATAGTCCATTATGTTCATAGCTTATAATATTAAAAAAAAAATTTTTTGCATGCCGTATGGTAGAATGTACCAGAAACGATATACCTACCTTGGTAAGACCTTATATTATGTACCTACATTCAATGCAAATAAATTATTCTATTCAATTAAATTCAAATTTAATTCAAAATTTAATGAAATCCAAATATTTTTACATTGTGGAAAATACATAACAGGCAACACGCGAAAATTTACTGATAGATATACAGCCGGAGCTCCGGTAGCCGGCAACTTATTTATCAATACTAGATAGCAAAATAAATATTAAGTAGGATCTACCTTTAAAAATCACGGTAACTTCTTATCAAGATCGGATTTATCAAAAAAGTATTTTTTGTATTTTCAATTCATACGTGGAACTTACGTAGATACTTTTAAAGGGTTTTTAAAGTTAAAAAAGGATATTCCTTTTTAACTTGTTGTAATGCCTAATAATTGCTACGATAATTATTAATAGAACTATACATTGTTTTATTTGTCAACGTAAAACACACTTCGATAACTCAAGCTTAAGCAGAATAAAATCCAAATCCGAACATTTTGACGTCCAAAAAGCATCGATCGATCAGGGTCAAGGACTTTTTAAGGGGCCCATACCATATTATGCCTCGGATCTCCCCGCTAAATAATAAAACAAACGTGATGGGTTTTTCCAATTCTGTCAAAAATGCGATAACTTTAGTCCCATTTTAGTCCAAAAGTATTTTTGCTAGACAGATCAAATATGATCTAAATAAGATATAGAGGTGCAGCTACAGCCTACATTTTAAGAACGACCATTGTAATTCAACAAATTAAATCTAATTTATCAACGAAATCTACTTACACGCCTTTTGTCCCGCGACTGTATCTGCGGCAAAAAACTAATGATGGATGATAGTTAAGCTAAAAAATATCGCATTTTTTGTTTATAGTTCCGTTCTATGTCAGTATTGGTGTAACGGAAGCTTTCCGATGTAGGAATGAGACGCCAAGTTTTTATATAAGTTACGGTATTCTCATGTTTAGCATAGATTGTATGTATAGCTTGTTATGAGGTCACTGTCGCTGGCTAGTCGGCCCCAATCACACCGCTGCGAACGCGATTGTGTTTTGTAGGTGACTGGGCAATTCACGCTCAGTTTCAAAAGAAGTAAAAGTTAGGATTGGACTTTCTGGAGTTTTTTTAACTATTGTGATCCTTAATGTTTATGTCCAGATCTCTTAAGTTACATAGGATCATCGTGTCAATCAACGTTACGACCTTTTTTGTCTAAGAGAAGATGACCTACTTTCAAAGTTAGCTTCGTAACTGTACGTTAGTGCATAATTGAGAGAAATAATTCATTATAAGCGATAATCCACATTCATTACATAAATTATCTTCGTGATCTGCCAAGCTGAATAAATTAGAGATTCTATCCATTAGAAAGTGTTGACAGTAAAACGTGAGATCACCATATTCACAACCCTATAATAATGCGAATGTACCTACCCATATTTTTATTATCGTTGGAGTAAAAAAATCTGATATTATTGATACCCGCATTGATAGGACGGTGTGATCGCAATCGAGCAGGTTGCAAACTACATCGGTGACGTAGAAGTGTGAGACACCAAGCAATGCCGAGTATCGTGCGGCCACGGCTTCCAACCCGTCAGATGCGCGTGCGACTCAGACTTGGCCTGATCGCGCCGTCTGTTTTATTTAACTTAATTTTAGTTTAGCTTAGTTTTAACGTAACATAGTGTTAATTAGTGTTACAAACATTTAATGGGAATAATAATATAGAAGGTGAGTCATGCATTATTTGTTTTTTTAAGGATGTTAGAAAGTGAGCGGCGTTTTCTGTGAAAACAGTTAGTTGGATGGGACTCTCGTCAGTCTCGTTCAAGCGATGTGATCACTTTACTAGTGCCTGTCTTATTTAGGACTAAAAATTTTAAATATCTAAGTAAAACTCTGCATTTACTCCGCATGAATTCATTTATTGTTTTCCTCATTTGTGTGTACGTGACAAAATATTTTCAAACGGGTGAATGACACCGTCTTGCAGTTTCATATAATTTGAAGTCAATTAATTTAATTTGACATGATTATTAACTTGAAGGAAGGTAAATTTTGGGTAAACAAATTATTAATGGAATGCTTTATGGAAGGCTTTTGATCGTTTTTCCTCAAAACGATCAAAAGCCTTCCGTTGATTATTATAGAAAGAAGTTTCATCTGCAATGTCAATTAATATGATAGGTACTTTGGTAAATAGCTTAGTTCTTTCGGCGTAACTAGTTTAATGTTTTCAGCGCTAGTAAATTTTAAAGATGTACTTAGATATATCCGTGCAATTATTTCTGTATTCAATGGTGTTAGGCACCTTACTTGTAGAACCCTACATTTATTGTTCCAATCAAGTTTTCCGGATAGTCACAAGTATTTGATTTATTATTCAGTGTATGTTGTTAATATTTTATGGCTCTCCGTTATTAGTTCTCTTTACGGAGAGCTCACTTTACGGAACCTTTAATAGGTGCTTTAATCGTAGGCCTATAACACCTTAGAAATACGTAGGTACAACTTATAAATATCACTATCTTTCTTTAGTATTTTGCAACTAAGATATCATAAAATGTTTTTTGGAGTTACACTGTAACGTCAAAAGGTTAATGTATTTTGCAGACCAAGTTAGTTGGCCATAGAAGCTTCGTAATATTTTCATCTGCAAATATGCTCTAATATGTCACAGTTATCCGGAAATTCATCAGTGCGGTGACGACAGTAGGTACAGAATATACATTGGTTACAAACTTACCACTTATTCTAATAAACCTAGTCTTACCACGGATTCGTAAGAATTAACCGATTTATTCATTCATCCCAGTTTACAGTTTAACCAAGACAACTCTTTGATGAACCTGAATAAATATTTTAATCTCCAATAGTTCTTCAACTCTTCAAGTTCAATAGAGGGCTGTAATGAGCTGTTGATGTTGGTGCAGAGGTTTAAATAGGTTGAAAGTCATTTAACTTCAATTAGATCAGAAAGGCATTTTAGAACGTCAATAAAAAATTTAAAAGTGAAGCTGTCTGCTCATTCCAATGTCTAGATTCCTATGGAGAAAGAGCAATAACTCCTCCGTGCCTTCTAGTAAGTAGTGCAGTTTTTGTATGTAATAAATACCAAATTGAAGTTAATCCTCTAGTACATAATATTAGTAGTTCTACTATTCTAGTTATGTACATAACGCATATTTGCGTAATTAATTTTCTTACTTTCGACTCGCCTCATCGTCTCCGCTCAGGTTGAGAAAATTAAACCAGTTTTGTGTAGTAATAACAAACCTTGTCCTAAAACTTTGCAATAAATCAGAGAAGTATTTTATTGCTAATACGTACCTACTTCATATTTCCTTGAAAACGTGGGTAGGTCTCAGTAGTAGAATTGCACATAGCCACATAGTAAAGTATTAGATACCTAGTGAATATGCAAAGCCGAGTGATCCTAAAGGTACTAGAATTTAAGTATCTATTGGTGTATCTATCTATTGGTATCTTGGGTAATTCTGCCTAAGGATATTTGGGTTAATTTTGGTAACAAAAACTTGTATGATAGTGGGGACAAAGTTCCAAGTCGCAATTTCGATGCGAACATAAGGAGCTTATAGGTAAACTCAAATCCAATTTTAGCTTCAATCTACTATTTTATTGATCTGGAAACTTATAACTTTTATATTTATAGGTCGTCTGTGTCACTTTGAAACATAATAACCAACAAGTTCCTAAGTTTAAACAAACCATTTAGCCAAACACTAAGCTATAATTCTGTAATAAAAACTGCATTACTGCGTGTGTGAGTCAAACTGAACGGAAGCATCTTGAGTTATCGTCATGCGTTATAAATTATTCATATTATATGTAGCCATTGAACGATGGTTTAGACTCCGTTCATCCTATTCGGTTTCTTAGAAGGGCTGTTGAATTTTTTTATCTGTTTTTCAATATGGCGGCCAGTGTACAGATGTTTACTAAAAAAAAACTTAAAGGCTACTGAGCACTTATACTTATGTATGTAGTTGGAAATGTTTTTTAGAGTTGTGGTTATGGTTGAAAATAAATAGATCCGTGTACACGTGTACATCCTAGTATCGAAGGTATTTTACGTTTAAGACTTTTTGCAATTGATAGATGAACGATCGAGAAAGTTTTTAATCTCTGAGAGCAGTGAGAATCTTCTCAGGAATGTTTTCCCACTCAGAAACTCATCAAAATAAATCTTCTATTTGCCGTTACCATTAAGAGATTCATTACATCACCTCAGTCGAAGCTTGAATGTATCTTATTAGTTTGAATAAATTAGGCGTGCAGACGAAATCAGCATAGCAAATACGGTGCAAGTAAGAATCTGATCTTATCTGGATCGTGAGACATTTGTAGTGATGCATGGCAATATATTAAACGGTACCCAGGACCTGTGCAGCCGAGGAAGTTGTGTCCGCTGTACTAGAATTAATTAAGGAATGTGAAGAAAATTCACCGACAATTTTTCTCAACTAAAACCCTGGGTATATTTTTCGTGGACGTAGATTCGCTAAAAAAATATATCGAATAGCGTAGATGACTGTCGCAATGCAGTTCAAAGGTATAAGAAGGATCAAAAATCCCTATGTCAGCATAGATCCTATGGCATTTAAAATGCCTAAGCAATATTATCAGGTCATCCAGCTCAACATAGTGCCTAGGTACAACTGCCCTAAATAGCAATAATTCGTCTCTACTCTCGACCTTCCCTATTTGACTCATATCATTCTATAACTGGGTAATACCAAACTGCAGTTTACAGGTTAATAACCTTTGAGGAAAATAAATTAAGACGAACACGTGGAACTTAAAAAAAAGCGTATTTTCCCTACTCATGGGGTTATTAGCAAAGGCAACTGTATTTTATTTTTAATGCATAACATTAGCTTGCTCCTGGTCGTTTCTGTATGCGGGCGGGGTGCATGAACTCAATTATGGCGGCAGGACGTTGTAAAAAGAGCAAAGAAACCAAGGAGTCTTTAGCTCCTTGCATCATGCGTGGATACTGGCTAGTAATTATCGTGGACTCCGGTTCTCTGGTACTTATAGCTTGAGAATTTCCTTTTTTATTTTTTTTATAATCGTTTACTCATGGGATGTTTATCTTTTGGTATTTTATAAAGTTAAGTCGCATGTAACTTTTATTTTGTCTACAGTTGATAGATTATTGGTAATTCTGTTTAAACATTGATCAACTAGATACTTTTAACACCGCTTTAACCGGTGAAGTGGTATTATTTGTACACGTACAAATGATTTTAATATTTCTTTTACCTTGCCGTACTATATGCTTATGTAGCAGCTCATCAATTTCAATGGATAGGCATCTGTAGGTCATTGATGAATGGGACTGTTCGCGCAGTTGTAGAAAAAGGTTGACAATGTAAGAAACTGACATCATAATGAACCTTCGGAACCTTCAAAGAGCATTTTTCTATGTATGTAACTAGAAAATGTAATCTTCAAGGTAAATGGTACTTTATGTATTTAAATATAAAGTATCTACTCTATTCTATTCTACTTAGGTACTACAATGACGTCAATGCGGAAAGGCTTCTAAGAAATACCACTTACACGGTTCTCTAGATAAATGAAAAAGTTTGATTGATATTCAGCTCATCATTACGATAATTGGCTGAACAGTGAACGCACGAATGTTTACGATAAAGCAATTTACTCACACATTGAATACTTTTATCACGATTTCTTATGATATGATGTAATTATTCCTAGATATCTGTAAAATCCTTCGCGGATATCCTCCTTGGCTACCTCATAAGTTGTGAGTTAATAGGTCGACACCTATGGTCGGCTCAGTCGGCTGAGCGTAGATGTTGACGACCTTTTCACTGGCGACCTTGTAGTAAAAAGGTTAGAGACTGTCTTTAAAAACTTTTTTAAGTAGGTAGGTTCATTGATTGGAACCGAAACGAATCGTTACCACAAATCCACAATCTTCAAGAGTGATACTTATACGTCACGCCTTTTATTTCCCGAATCTAAAAACCGAACAACCTTCGGGGTTGGTATAGTCCTCTGCCTCGTTGGTATAGTCCTCGAACCTGAGATTTGCTTACACTTACGACCACCAAATCAACGAGGCAGCCTAGGGGTTTATATGATATAGCAAAATTATACAATCTAATTCGTCCTTTCGTAAGTTTCAAGGACAGTTAGTAGTTAAAATTGCAACTAAATACAGTGAGGTGTCGCCTAGGTTCTATTGCGCAAGCCGATCCTTGATGATTGTTTAGTAACACCAAGTTAATTGCTTGTTGACGACAACAATATGGCCACATTTTATCTTTGAGGCAGTTTTAAGAATTCATTTTAAAGGCTCGTGCATTTATTTATTATAACTGTGTCTATTAAAGTTTAAAGTATATAAGTTTAAGACTTAACTTCACGCCTTTTATCTCCGAAGGGGTAGGCAGAGGTGCACATTAAGGCACTTAATGCCACTGTACAATGTAACACCCACTTTTCACTATTTTATGTTATGAATCCCTTGTAATTGGGGGGTGAGCCTATTGCCATATACCGGGCACTATTCCAGACTCCGTGCTACTACTGAGGTTTATTGAAAAACCCAGTAATACTTTTGCTCGACCCGGTAATCGAACTCGAGACCCCTTGCTCGGCAGCCGTATTTGCGACCACTCTGCCAACGAGGCAGTCAAGTATAAGATCATGTCTTTTAACGCGAAGCACTTAAGTTTCAAATTAAGTATTTATTTCAATGCCTATATCGTAAAGACGACGGAGGTGCCTATCGGCTTTATGGGAACCCAATCAAGATTGATAAAGTAGCATAGAGGTCAAATCATTCTAAAAATATTTGCTCATACCCAAAAGATTTCGCTCATAGCAGGTAAACATTCTTACCTTAAACCTCAAAATGTTCTTCACTCTGTTTTAGTAAATATAGGAAATGTTTAAGGTCAAAATCTTAACGGTGTAATCGCAATTATAATCGATTGACCTTAACAAATGATTAATTAAATAATTAACAAACATTTAAACAATCGGACGGAAAGAATCGGAGTGAGACGTGATCGAATTAAGGATGCCCATGATAGATCACGAAACGCAGCTGTGGATGGCTAATGGCTCATTGTTTTATATCAATATAATAGGTAGATTTTGCAATAGGAAGTCTGGCCTAAACAGATGCACATTGCATATATTGATATGTAATATTATTTTGTTTTAAGACAAAAGATAGAAGTAGACTTTTGCGTAGAGGAACATAAGCTTTTTTGTTGTTATAATAATCATCATCAACAGCCATTTTTTTTTTTTAAACGTTGCCCCACACTAGGATTTTCTCCTGTGTCGTGGGTGCGTTTACAAACATACAAGTTCACATACACAATGACACCCAGACCCGAAACAACAATTTGTGGATCACACAAAGTGTTGTTCCGTGCGGGAATCGAACCCGCGACACGTTGCACGGCAGCCGGTTGCCCAGCTACAGCACCAACCGTGCAGTCAAAAAATTAAATACCCACTGCTGAGAAAAGCCTCTTCTCACACGGAGAAGGTTTGAGCATTAATCACCACGCTTGCTCAACACGGGTTGGCGATTTCAAACTTATAATTAGAAATTATAAGTCCAGGTTTCCTCACGATGTTTTCTTTCACCGTTTGTAAGTGGTTTGTAAATAACCTTAGAAATAGTCTCATTGGTACTTGCTGTTGGTAGATATCGAACCCGCTCTCTTATGCATGAGAAGCGTGCGTCTTAAACCTCCGGGCCACCACAACATTTTAGAATAATGTTCTGAATGAAAACAATGATCTAAAACAGGATTTCTTTTAAACTGCAATGTTTATTAATTTTCTATATCAAATAATTCATCGCTAGTTGAGCAAGCAAACTCTTCACAAGGCAAACTGAATTAGCATCTACACCTGTCCATGTCTATAAAAGATTAAAGAAGATATAAACTGGGTGCCGACCTATGTATGTTGACATGAATGTTACCATCCATGCAACTATTAAAATACCTCACAGAAATAGAAATACTTAGGTATCGAGACCACATCTTGACGTCTTTCTTTTTAGTATGCCTCTTTTTTAAGTTTTGCTAGTGCAAGAGTCAACCAAATACCACCTTTTTTCACTCACACAGATGTATTTTTAGATATAGGGGTTTAACTCAAAATATTCTGGTTAGAAGATTCGAAATGTAGGTAGAAGCTAATCGATGTTTTCTCCCGCAGCATAAACAGCAGCAAAAATGTCTCGATTCAAGACGATACTGGTGACTGGCGGCGCTGGATATATTGGCAGCCATTGTGTAGTAGATCTCCTGGAAGCCGGCCACGATGTCGTGGCTATAGACAACTTCGCTAACGCAGTGGGAGACGACACTGGGTCACCAGCCCTCCAACGCGCGGAACAGATCACTGGCAAAACGATTCACTTCTACAAGGCAGATTTGCTGGATAAACCGCAGATTAATGATATTTTTGACAAGGTAAGTATTTTAAAAACTATGGAATTAACTTTTTGGATAGTCCCAGAGTATTTAATCCTCCTATAGTAAATTTCTACACTAATGGCTAACTTACATCAACTTTCATTCGGTGCCATTATCAGAATAAGCATCTGCTTAGTATCTAATTACCATTTTCGTAGCAAAGTCCTATTTATCATTTTTGGTTACAGCACCCCATAGATTGTGTAATCCACTTCGCGGCGCTGAAGGCTGTTGGAGAATCCATGCAACAACCTCTACTGTACTACCAGAACAACCTTTTGGGCATGCTCAATTTGTTGGAGGTGAGTTTAGATTTAAAGAATTACCAAAACCAAAGGACCAAAATATAGGAAACTAATTGGGATGAACTATAACGCAATGCCACTAGTATTAAACTAGCTATCAAATACTATCAATATAGATACAACATCCAGTTTTTATGAAAAAAAAAATTGAAATGTAAAAGTATTTAAACCCACCTTTTTAAATACAAATATGGCGTCATTAATAGCTAGGTAGGTGATTGTTTATTGAATTGATTTTCTTGTTAGATAAATGTCGGTTAATAAAGTGGCGAGATTTCGAAATTGATACGCTTTTAGATTCTAAATTGATAGGCAAATCAATTTAGGATCAGTGTAAATTTATTTAATATCAGCAATCGGTAAATTTAAATGAAAAGTTGGTTATTCATTCGTTATCACAGGATATTTAAATTGATATCGGTAGATATAAATATTTTTGGTCAATTGATTTCTTTTTAAACTTATCAATATCTTTTAATGAGGATATTCTTTTGAAATACATAAATTAGCTTCACGGGCATAACCTTTCAACTTTATTGTACTTGTTACTGTACGAAATAGTCTTTAGAACTAAATTGTTTGAAAATTACCGTACCTATCTCCTCTTTCGATTTAACCCATACGTTTAAGAATTCCCTGTTCATCTACCGGGTCGTCTACCTACATGTCGGGAGTCAATCTTATCCTTAACTACATAGACTACTTACACATGTCTAAATAACTGCATTTTACTCGCACTTGAAAGGACAAAAGTAGACCAGCACTCCCATTACATTTTACGACATAGACCGTTGTTCCACATAGACTGAATCTATTAAGGTGTGCAAGGCATTGTACAACGAGGTAACTTTTCGAAGTTTACAACCACGAACCAATATTACAGGCATATGGTCTAGCAAGCCATTGTAACTAGTCCTGAACTGTAATATTAACAGGATAAACTGATTTCAAGGATATATTCGAAGGGAGAAAATTAACGCTTCCAACTTTTAATTCCAGATTATGAGATCACACAACTGTTATCAGATGGTATTTTCCTCATCCTGCACTGTGTACGGAGAGCCGGAGTATCTGCCTATAACCGAGAATCACCCTACTGGCAGCATTACCAACGTGTACGGAAGGACCAAATACTTCATTGAGGAAATGCTCAAAGATCTAAGCGCTGCTGATGAGGTAAATAAATATCCTTTTCAATTTAAGACATCGTATAATATTATACAATCGATGCCACTATGTCATAGACGATGTCATGTAGTAGCGATATTTGTGTATTTTTTATAATGTTGAGATCATAAATGGATGCGATTGCGGATTTATATGAGAAAGGCCCATGTGGCTCTATAGACTAGTTCCTTGTCAGATTTTATTGATAAAAGAAGTATCCGGTCCATCATGAAGGGATCCACAAATTATCACATATCCTGTTAATTTATAATATATTTATCAGACTTCTTAAATTTAATTAGGTATCTATTATAAAAAATGCGAATTTATACATAGTAGGTAATTCTGTAATTATAATATCTATCTCCAGTACCTACTCTCATTGACTTTACGCTAGACGGAAATATAAGTATTCTAGTAAAACTAACTGGTCAATGAGTGTGCTTTCTAAAAGGTAAGACTGGTCTCGTGATACAATACCGGTCCTAATGGCCCACTGCTACGAATGCCAAGGTTGAAGGACGCCATCTTGCCGACATAATTGTATCTGTCATTCGTGTCAATCGAATTTATTTTTAAACTTATTTTTTAATTCGATATTTAAATTCACTCGATAATAAATCTGTCGATCTAATTTATTGCACTTCTGTCCATTATTACGTAACTATTAACAATATTTTAAATTTTGGATGTAAATGGGATTAATTTTTTTATAATAGGTCTAGGTATTATGGTAGAGGTGTGGCCACCAGGATGTAGGAAGGACTACCTACATTTTTTTTATTAATTCGTTTTCTTTTGAAAAATAACTATCATTTTAGCGCTTTGTTTGTTATTCCAAGGAAAAGACATGAGACATATCTTTACATAGGCTGAATTTAATTTAAATTCGCCAGCTTGCGTTATTACGCAAGCACTTAATTAACATATAAATTACTCAACACTCGTTTTTAAAACACACTTATATACTTTCTCTCTTTTAGAAATGGAACATAATATGCCTTCGGTACTTCAACCCGGTGGGCGCGCATCCGTCAGGTCTGATCGGTGAAGACCCTACCAAGGAGTTCACTAACCTCATGCCGTTCATGGCCCAAGTGGCGCTCGGCAAGAAACCTGTGCTTACTGTCTTCGGCAGTGATTACAATACACCTGATGGCACTGGTAGGTTAAATATTTCTGAGTCTTTATTCGAATAATTTTGGTTAATTTTCCAAATAATCATTTCTTAGCCTGAGGCCAAGAAAAATCAGAAAATGCAGAAGAGAAGTCTAACAAAGTGACAAAACGATTACAGGTATCCGAGACTACATTCACGTTATGGACCTAGCGAGCGGTCACGTCGCAGCGCTGAACTTGCTAAGCAGCACTCACGTCAAACTAAAGGTACCTACATAATAAACGTTAACATATCTAAACTCCTCAAAACTGTACAGCCTATCCGAAAATTTCCGAATAAATGACTTCAATAACCATAAAATGTAATAATTGCCTTTCATTTCTAGGTCTACAATCTAGGTACCGGCAGAGGAGTTTCAGTTAAAGAGCTGGTAGACGTGTTTGAACGAGTAACGAACACTAAGATTCCTTTGAAGTACGTAGCTAGAAGACTGGGGGATATTACAGCCATGTGGGCAGACGCGAGCCTCGCTAAGCAAGAGCTGGGCTGGTCCACTAAACTGAGCATTGAAGAGATGTGTAAGTTGATATAATTCATGTTGGACATTCTGGAATTCATTTGATAAATAATAGACGATAAAATGTGTTTCTAACCACGAAATCTTGAAACCAGAGCTGAATCTGTTACTTCTTCTGATGTTGAATGGAATGCGTTCGTGACAGAAGAGCTCCGCGTTTCAATGACTTTTTAAATATAATTTATAATATTTCACCTAAAATCTCAATAACTAACTACTTTATTTGTCTACAGGCACTGATTTCTGGAGATGGCAAACAATGAACCCTGACGGCTACCCCAAGAAAAGTAAGAAGACGAGCGTCATTGTGAACGCGAACGGAAACAGCTAACGTGGATTGCAGGGCGATCCATATGATTATTTATAGTTCTGTATTAAATAAGCGACTGCCTACTATTTATTACACGTTGTTTTATTCGGTATGCTGAAGCAGTATCCTTTCCATATCAGTAAGCAAAGTTTATTGCTATACTGGTATTTATATGGAATCAGGGATTATCAGGGTATTTTTATGGAATCATTTGCTACCGCAAATGAGACATACGTCCAAATACTCAAACAATTTTAAGTACTGTCACTACAAATTGACTTTCGAAAAGACAGAGATGGCACGATATTTTCAGTACCTACAACTTAAAATTGAGTAGCCTTACAGTATTTAGGCGATAGACATCCGGTACTCTAAAGTAGTTAGATGTGGACACAACCTTTGGGTGGGGAGATATTGAGAATTTTTTAGGTCTACTAGTCTAAGTCGGTTTCCGTGATGCAAATCTATCAAGGCACTGAGTGCCAAGCACGAATAACTATCGCATTCGTAACGTAATAGTATCGAGCGCGTTCGGCGCTCTGATTGGCCGGCTCAAGTGAACCAACCAATCAGAACGCTTAACTCGCTCGATACTGTCACGATACGAATGCGATAGTTATTCGTGCTTGGCCCTCTGATCGAATGTTTGTTCGAAAAGTATAATATTATCTAGTCGTTGTAAGTTTTAAAACCTATCAAGGCTTTAGTAGACAGGACTTATACTGAGCAGGCACTCGGGTAGAAATATGACGAAAATAAAAAGAAGAGTACCTTTTAACCTTCTATTTAATTTCTAAACTTCACGTAACTTCTTCATACAAGGATTCGTGTTGCCACTTCAATGGTTCGTACCCCACACTCGTGGTATTCGGTAGGAGGTACCTCGCGAACAGTTCTAAGGTTTGAGGGTTTTCTGTTTTCACAAATGGCGACAGAATATCTGTAATAAAATAAATTAGTTCCAGACATTATTAAGCATGACTTTGTCGTTGGCGAGTCTCGGATTCAATTCCTGTCGTGCTCATTTTGGAACTTATTCGGTTTTTAGAAATACTTCAATAATAGCCCGAGACACGGGGTATAGAATAGCGTGTATAATGGTATCAGGCTCTTCTCTTGTTACATCACACTCGTAGTCATAACATAAATAGTTTGTGCCCCGCAAATACAAAAAATATAACTTATCTTACCTAACAATGGCGGTTTCTGTGAGTGCAAGGCACTGGGCACACTGACCACCACCTGCCCATCTGGTATATCATTTACTTCCCCAACTTTTCCCAATAAAATCCTCTCATAGGGCTGCTTCTCACAACCAGCACCAAAACTGCACAGCGGCTGCAAATCCACTGTAACCTTCATCCAGTACAAAGTACCCACATATTCCACTCCCCATTTTGGGAATATTATATTTTTGACAGCGGCAACATTGCTAGGTGCATTTGTACACCATACTGCCACCAGGCAGTTTTCAGCAAAGAGGTTCTGTAGTGGTATTGCTGCTATGTCTTCGTTATACATCATTGAGTAACTAGAATAACAAAAAATATATCATGATAAAAAAAAAACTACTGAAAAAGAAATAGATGTAAGATTTGTATTTGTATAATAAGAACAAATTAGCAAAATAAACACACTGCCCTCTCTTTAAAAACATGCCAGAGGTTTCGGGTATGATACTATGATATCAGGGTCAGACAGAATAACTTAATGAATTAGATGGATATTCTGAACTTCTCAGTCAACAATCAACATCATGAACTTTGTAATTAAGCCGGGTGCTGATGTATGACTATTAGGGATGCAGACTAGTTTTTTTCTAAGGGTGTAAATCATCCAATGACTTCTCCCGCCCAGGTGTGGTGATAGGGAATGTCAGACTCTTACTGACTAAAAACCACCCCGTTCCTACCACTTCGAGCCCATTATGTTCTCCGCAACATGCAGACTAGTTATCTACCTTAACTTTTCATTAGCATTCTTCAGCCTTCTTATGTATTTGTTCCACCAAGGAGGATCAGCTACCACTATGTCAAACTTATTGCCATCTAATTTCAGACATTGTTCTTTTACACACCCACAGTAAAACCTGTAAAATAAAAGAGTTATGGAAATAAAACATTATGTAGGGACAGTTATTTTGTATTTTTCTATGGATTTTGATAGAGGAAACTAAAGAGAAATGAACTATCTCACATAAAATTAAAATAAATAAACAAGACTGAGCCTGTGCCTTAGATATTAGTCCCTTCCAATGAGACAGAATGTTATTTACAAATTACAGAACAATACTTTCTACAATGATATTAACTCGTTGAGTACCATCATTATAGACACAATTATAGAACAATAGGTTGTGGTCACCGGTGACCGCTTGGTGTTTGACAGTTTAATTCTACAAACTATTAGGTTTTAGAAATATTTTTAGTTTGTAAATGTTTTATAACATCAATGATATCTAATGTTTGAGTATGAGTACAACACGAGTATAACACAGGTGTTATTAATTAACTATCCTCTATAGTTCTAAGATATAATAATATCAATAAGTAAAATTCTTACGTTTTCTGAAACAATACCTTGAGTTAGATGGTATTAAGAAGTTATGCTCCTTTATTCTACATTTCAGTGAAGTGTCAGCATTATTACCACCTTTTATGCCCATGAAGTCAAAGAATGTGGTTTCAAATAGTTCTTTGGAAAGGTCTCTAACATCCGAAGTTTCTAGTAATTTGTATGTACTCACTAGACCATCTTTTATATCTCCTGGAATTTCTAATAAGAATCTGTCATATGCCGCTTTAATTTTCATTGTCTGAAACATTAGAAGGAAAATATTACCTACTAATATTCGATGCCTTATAAATAGTTTATTTTTCCTATAATTAATTTTAATCTTAAGTTGTATATATTTAATTTAGTAATATTTAGTTTTAATTTTATTTGAGTAATAGTTGTTATTTAAGTTTTTTATAGAAATAAACCTCTCCATTAGTTACCTTCTTGAATATTATATTTAAAATAAGTAATAAATCTATGCTGGTAAAGAATGGGATGAATTAAATCATCTTAATTAATTCAGATAAACAACAAGTCTATCAAGTAAGTATTTATTTTTAATTGGAAGTAAGAAAAACAGGGGTTTTGTTATCATTACCTCTTCATGCAAATTATCAGAATTATGCGGTCTTTTCCTGCTCCGTTTGTGGGCTATATTTAAAATAGAGAATAATTTTGATAATAAACTAAATGAAACTGTTTCATTTTCGTTTACTACTGTACGTTTGTACACGTTCGTGATAAATTTTCTATGATCAATCAAGTAACAATCACTTTTTTTGTAAATTAGTGCCATTGTATACACAACTTTACACAGTTACAGTTCACTAAAAGTTAAAAAGCAAACAAAAGTGGACTAGATACTTTGCTTTTGCAATATTTTTGCCATCAGCTGGATTTGGATAGATTGTTGACATATTATTTTTATTTTTCTTGATATCCTGCTCACACTTTGCATAAATTCATATGTCCTATCTTTGTCTAAATTTGGACCGTTGAACTTGAATGATGACAGCAACTTAAAAATAATACCAGGTTTTAAAATAGTACCGAAATAGTAGTCTTTGTAGCATTTTTCTGTTGATCTGAATGTTAATTTAGGAAATTTAATATTTTATATAAGTATGCTTATATATAACTTAATATTAATTTCAAAGAAAAGTTTTTTCTATAAAATGTAATACAAGATAATCAGAATAGATATGAAGAGTTCTTTGGTAGAAAATTCATTTTTGTTTCGTAAAGCCCGTTAAGTTGCTGTCACATCAACTGTCAAATCGAGACGAAGATTCGCTTGCTTGATCTCGAATCTCGACGCGAAAAGCTATTCAAGTTGGAAGATTCACGTTCGCTTCCTACGCTATTTCATTGGTTTTCTATAATACAAAGAAACAAGAATTTTAAAACCCTATATTATTCCAATTACTATTTACGTTAATAAGATACATAGCTGATTTATTTGGAAGTTTGTTGTGATCAAAAAATCTTTACAAAAAGAAGCCGGTGATGATGACTTGTACTCGAAGATTTTTTATTTAAACCATGGCTGTTAATAAAGGTAACTTTCTTTCATATATTTGCAGTTAAATTATTTCTTACGATGCATTTGAGTAGTAAAAAATTGTAGATAAAAGACGGCCTTGCAACTCAAGAACGCCGACTCAGTATTGTAAATAACTATATGTTTTATGAAAATATACATTTCCGGTTATTCCGGTTTACGAATAACTTAACTGAGTCGTGTTATAGTATACATTCTTACCAATTTACTCACTGTTACAACTTTGATGCTCATCCTCTGAATATTTTCTATCATGTCTGTACTTTGTAGTAATTTTATTAAAGGTACAAAGTCCTAGGCAAATCATTACCTACCAATAAAGTAGTGATTGAAATAGTTATCAACAACTTGTAGTATCTTGGAGCATCTATTATGAAGACTGTTCTATTAATCAATCAGTGTAACAATAACTACAACACAATTTCAATGTTTATAAACAGCTAGAAGGAAATAATACTGAAAAAAACTTATCTAAACAGGTGAGATTCATGTACATTTTGTCATGACACAGGGAACAAAACAATTATTTATTTAATTCATCTATAGATTATTAAAAAATGGTGAAAAGAAAATTATAACTCAACTAACTTTATTTATTTACTAAACAGTTTATTTATTAATACTAAATTACTTAACTAAATAATAATAACACATAATTATGTCATATTACTACTTTATATTGATATAGAAAAAAATATATTTATTATTTAAAATACTGGAAAATGTCCTTTTCCTAGTTGAAGAAAACTAGATAAATTACTGTAGGTGCTTTTCCACTTTTAATATTAATTATTCCCATAAAATTGGAATTAATAATAATTTTGTGATTGAAAATATGGATGAGAATTTAGTCTTTAGTTCATTACATTTATTTTCATTTTCAATATAATATAAATGTAATTCATAATAATTTTATGATTTGATGTGATATGATATGAAGCATTCAATGCTTTTAGTTTCAAAATATTTTACATATCTATTAGGATATAGTTTCAGTGGTTAAATAAACAAAATATTATCTGAAATCTCATACAGAGACATTATCATTGTATTTCAGTGTACCTACCAACAATTTAATCTTTTTTTAGTTGTAGACTTAACTATAGTGATGATAACATTTTGTGGTTTAGTTGTCCACACACTACATAAATGTTTGCTACCCCATATCCTTTCAACTCTTACTTTATCTTATCTGAACAAGTTGACACCAGCCCAGGGATTATTTCTCATTTTATCTTGAAATACTGATAATACATTTGAAACAGTACTCAGTATGTATCACTATGCATACTCATTCTGTGTAATTTATTAAGTATTCATGTGGTTATACAATTACTGAATTACATTGAGAGACAGACCCTGTAAAGAATTTAATTGTGCTGTTAAAAGTACCAAAAGTCGTAAAGTGGCATTAATATTAACAAGTCCCGACATAGCCTAGTGTGCACTGTCTCATTGAAGGGAACCATAAAAGTTGTACGAACTAGAGATCGGGAGCGAATATTGATCAGGGGTGGTTGCGCGCGTATGGCGGCGCGGCGCGAGGGGAGCGCGGGGCCTGCGCGCGCCGCCGCCGGAGAGCGCCCATGTGGTGCCCACCGCTGCGACCCTCCATTGCCATCCCAATTATACACTAATGTTAAAATTCGCCGAATATCAACTATTCCTGCCTAAATCGTCTGCTGCCGTATTAGTCCATGATGTGAGCGGGCTCGCGGCCGCGACCTGAACCATCCTCGCGTAATACGAACGACAACGTAAAAATCAATAAATCTCTGAGTGAAACATGGATGTTGCATTTTCATATGAACAGTGGCCGTAATGTAGTCGCGCAACGGTGTGGGGACTGTGATCCAATAGTGTATTTGTATTTCAGTGAAGATATAAAAGTTTCCGATGTTCAATCACAAGTTACCGACTGACTTTCCAATGCAAACCCTTCGTAAGAAAACCAGCCCTTGCAAATGTGAGTCCGTAACGTTTAGATCGAGCAGCTTCACGATCACCATGTTTTTATATACTTTTGATATTACGGTAATGCGGTGTTATTAGATAGCGCTAAATGTTCCCGACCACGTTATTCGCATATCTTAGCTTTATTATATTTTGCGGTTTATGTTGTAACCTGCATGGATCGGCTACGTTCCTCTCACCCTACTAACTGTTCGAGGGCTCAGCACAGTGGTACAGAGTCGCGTGCTAGTCCGTGTCATAATTAGTGACCCCCGTGGTGTTTTGGACAGAGGGTGTGTTGTGGGCCCGTGGCGGATGTGGAGCGGCGGTGCATCGGGGGGACTAACTCCATAACTTGCTATTTGTCGGTTTGTACGGGAAATTATGCAGGTGTGTCATTTCCAGCATCTCTTGCGGCAGTTCGGTGAGTACATCTGTCCTTACACACGACATTCATGCTTGTGTATGTGTATCTACTCGTATCAGTGTCATCGCTTGTAGTTACTCCTTTATTATTCCTGTTGTGTGCTTCGTTTATTATGTTTAATTAATGCCGCTGCTGTATTCGTTAAAAAATATCCGCTGAAGTATGTTATGTATCAATTTAAAAAGGACTGATCACTCTGTGTACTGTTTGTGTGGTATACGTCTAATTTGTAATGTCCAACTATTTAGAGCACATTTTTGTGCGGTCTGCTGATATTACTGTCCGTATCTTATATAATTATCAGGTCGTAACACTATTTAGTATATTTATACGAGTTTATCAAAGAAGGATCTAAATTAACTAGGGTAAACTAATTTTATCTGGGTTCTACATTGCCTACTAAACCTGCAATGTTATCGCATGTAACCACCGCCTGTATTTGGGTGAAAAGATTTGAAACAAACATATTGGCTGTCATCGTTGGTAACATTCCGCAAATAGGTCTCCAATAATGTAACACCAAATTCCGCGACTAGACTAACATCTTACCTCAATAACAAAGCATGTTCTTTCGTAAATAACATACTCTCTACTTTGTGTGTATGTATACGTATGCAATGATTGCGCAGTTTGCATACAACATTCTTGAAGTATTTCTGTTTCCTCACTCTTGTGAAAGAGCAAATAATAAAAATATATCACACTGTAACTTCAGTCCAAAGAGGTCGCATCCACCAGGTACCACCAGTACGCGACAATCATGGATCTAAATTTAAAAACAGGATATTCAATTAACTGGGAATGATGCACCGTAAACAGGGGCCAAAATAGGACACTCGTGCTCACTTTTATTTTGCGCTGAACTTCAGTCGCGTGTGTGCTCTTTGGAGAAAAAGTGTAATGTAATAATAAACATGACATTGAAAAAAATTGAAGCAAGATATCTGCTTAACAAAGGTGATATGCAAACTACTGCTAAGTGTGTGCACTTGTGCTAAACTAATGTGCTTTGTTATATTTAGATAGCTGGTTGACTTGCTTAGTTTGTAAGTGGTATTGTTTACGATTCTCTTACGATGCCCTTATTTCTGCGACCCCTATGGTTTATAGTGCTGATTATACTGACTGACAAAGTAATTTATATCCTGATTAATTCTGAAAACAATGCTGTTGAACGGCATTGGCATTAAAGTTCAAGTCGTTGGTCAATGTAAGATCGTCGGTATGTGTGTAGTGTCCTTTTGGATCTTTCATGTTTGTCTTGAGCCTTAACATAAAGAAAAACCTGCCTGATATATTTCAAAAAAAGGACAGAAAGTCCTAGAGTCCGTGGAGAATTAATCTGTAATATTATAAAAAAAAGAAATATATCAGGCAGCTGCAGGCATCTTAACGTAAGTCGAAATTAGTACGTAAAACGTTAGCTAAAGTCAGCCGGTTGATGTTAGGACAATATTCTTCAACAAGGACCTGGTTTAAAATAAAATAATGATAAGACAAGGTGACTAACACAATATAATATGGATTTAACAGACAAGAACGAGCCGGGCCGGTTCTTAGGCGAGGGCGTATCATTTCGCGCGAAGCTAATCGGCGTACTTGAAGTACCTGAGGCCCGGGGAGACAGGATGTGTCAAGAAGCGCTTGCGGACCTCAAGATGGCCATCCGAGCGGCTGGAGAACATAAACAGAGGATACAAGTTCACGTCGCCATAGATGGACTGAGGCTACGGGATGATAAAACTGGGGTACGTATGCACACATTTACTTTAGAATCCGTTATAGAATTGTTTTCGCTGCGTTTTATCTAGGCCCATGTAGTTTGGACGAACATTTCCTGCAAGTCCATTATCACAACTGAATTTGTTAAGATTCGCCGATTTCTCTATCGAAACTTCACTGATTTTTTTTGTAATATCCTAAAAATAGAATCGAATGTGATATTAATCTTGAGTCAAAAGATAGGTCCTATATTCACATATATTTTTATTGACTGCATTTATAGGCACTCCAAATTTTGGACTATTGATTAAATGAAACAGTTTAAGCTTGATTTCTCTGATATCCCTGACGCCCACACATTCAAATTATTTGATTTGAAATGATTGGATCATGTGTGTAAACATGCCTACCTCCACGA